CTGATATGACCTTTTTTAATTATTATCTCTCGCTGATTATAAGCTTCTTTTATCCCTTTGATGAAATCATCTTCAAAACACTGATTGTGACATTTGCAATTTGTCTGGTAGTATTTATTTTCTCAATCCTGCACAAAGTAGACAGCTCCTGCGTGTTCTTGTCTTTTAGTTGACCTGGTTGGTGTTGAGCTTATTGTTGATAGCAGCGTCTAATCTTAATGTCAGAGAATCTGCTTCCAGATTACATATGGCGCAATACTTAAGTCTCATTTTCCAACTATAAGATCTAATAGTATGGGCGTACATTTATCAGATATTCAGATTATAAAATAAATTATAAATTATGAGGTATATCAAACTAACCCTAAAAGGGAACCATGTGTATTAGCTTAATTATAAACTATCTTATTGCCAGTCAAGAAGTGCTGTATGTCCATCCTTCTACTTACTTTAGGGCCTGTTCTGAAGTTCTCCCAACTCTCCCAACTCCAAAAATTCAGCTTCTCAACCCAGCTTCTCACTCCGCGCAGCGATTCACATCTGCTCGGCAGCGAAAACAGCTTCTCTGTCGCCACTTTGGGCTGGTAGCGGCTGCTCACATGTCTAGCACCACTTAGGGCCATCCCGGTACATAGATCACGTGATCTAAACATATTGGCACAACTATTTTCAACCAAAGATTCAGATTGCTTGTCATTTATCAATTTTTTTAGGGAATAAATGCATTAATATAGTTTACAGCTGCAGAGTGAGCCTTGTGCACACTCCCATGATCCACAGGAACTTGTGTTACCAGGGGGTTCTGCCCTGGTATACTAGTAGTACGCAAGGAATGCAAACTAGTTCCTTTACCGAAAAAGGGTTCCCCCGCTTTGTATACAAAGCAACCAACCGAGACAACCAACGATAGGTGCTGGGGCGGAAGCAACACAGTCACACCCAAAAGAAATGAAAGAGAAAATACAAGAGAAACAAATGCCGACAACGGCGGATCGACAAAAAACGAAGAAGCCTCATGGCCGCTGCATCCACCGGAGATCGCCCACCAAGCTCCGAGCCTCCGAAGCACCGATACCAATCGATAGCTCCAAGAAGGGAGGTGACGATGACGACGCTGCTGCCAAGGGTTTCCCCCGTTACGCGGTGAGGAGAGAGGAAGGGTAGCCCCGACGCCCTTCAGGAAGGTCCGGCGGCACCCTCAAGCACCACCGCGTCGGTGTCGGCCAAGCCAACAGGGATTTCTCCCGATCCCAACCTTCACCTCAGGCACTCTGGAGCTCGCCACCAAACAGACCCCCACCCCGCGCCAACCTGGCCACGAAGCTTCCTACGCCATCTCACCACGGCACCGTGAAGCATGGTCTACACAATGAAGAAGAGGAGCCGGGACTAGGGCAGCAGCACTATCGGCATGCGGGAGGGCCCCACCTCCACAGTCGAAGACGGTAGCTGACCGGACGCAATAGCAGGACATACCAGGCCCGTGGCCGCACAGGCCCGGCCGGGATCTCCGAGGCCTGTAAAGTGCCTTCGCGCTGCAGCCGGCACGCTGTCGGCGCCGCCGCCCCTGTCCAAGCCGCTCCCTGCCTCCCCGCACAGATAGCCGCCAAGTGGAAGCACCTCCACCACACGCACCGCCGGCCACCACCACCAGGTCGCCGGACTGCCACCGGCCGAGCCGCACCACCACCGCACGCCCACGACAGAGAGGAACCAACGCAGCCGCCGGGAGCCCGAAGCCGGACCCCAGCCGCCGCCCACGCCGCCCGCGGCCCGGGCCCCCTGCCGGACGGATCCGGCCGCCGCGGCGAGGCGCGCTCCACCGCGCAGCCGACCACGTAGCGCCACGCCCGCCAGGAGGCCGCGCGCCGCCACGCCGCGGCGCCCCTCGCCCGCACCCGATGAAGATGCCACGCCGCCCCATCGCGCCGGAGGAGGAACAAGCCCCGCCGCCGCCGCCGCCGGTCGGGCGAAGCCCGGTCGCGCCCCCTGGCGGCGGCGAGGGGAGGCCGGCGGTGGGTGGATCCGGGAGCCCTCCCCGGCCGCCTCGCGGGTGGCGGCGCGGGAGGGTAGGGTTCGGCTGGGTCGAGCGAGCCGATCCAGCCTAGGGTTTCCAAACTAGTTCCTTTCACGGGTGTGGTAGATAAACTGGGAATGCGAGGTTCTGTTATCTTGTTATCCTAGTCTTCCTTGAATCGAATGAATCCTTGGTCCTATACTGGGCTGTTATTCATGGATATTTTGCTTTTAACTTGGATATTTAGCTTTCATTAGCTTCTAATGTTGGTGACATGCCCACACTGAAGCAAAATCATTTAGAGCATATAAGCAGATGCACTGTCCAACCTGGCATTCTGCACCTCCCAAAATCAGGTCCTCATCCCAATCATTCCACTGAGTTTGGGCCACAGATGGCCCATGCCAATTAGTTTGTCAAGCTGAGATCCAATGTTATGTGTGCAATCTCATGGCATTTTTCCGACCAGTTGCTGTGCCGTGTTACAGAGAAATTCAGCAGACACTGACAGGGCTCTCCCTCATTTTTTTCAAGGGATAAGTTGAGATTGACGCATCGAGAAGATAGATAGAAGAGGCCAAGAAAGGCCAACCGTTTTACAAACCCTTTTACAAACCCCTCCACGGCTATAAAAGCCTTAAATCCACATGCGGATTACTCACCCAGGTCCTCCCTATCTACCATACAGATGACTGAACCCCGTTCCCGAAGAAGGCCGGCCGCTCTCCAATCTTGTGCCTCCAACTCGATCTTCACAAGCACTTTCTCAACCGATGGCAGGGATCCATTGAACACTATGTCGTTCTGGTGTTTCCACAACTGCCAGAGCACTAGAGTAATAACAGTCCACGTCTCCTTCCTCATATGATTTTGCGGGTGCAGATCTGTCCACCATTTCACAAGGCTTGCATCCAATGTTGGCGTCCAGTCCGGTCTCCCCCATGTGCTTGTGATCTTGGTCCACACTTGCCTGGCGAAGACACACCTAAGAAACAGGTGATCTAAAGTCTCCGGAGCTTGGTCACAAAAAGGGCATGCCGATGGGTGCGGCAGCTGTTGGCGCTGCAACCGATCCGCGGTCCAGCACCAATTCCGCGTCGCCAGCCACGTGAAGAACTTGCATGCCGGCGGTGCCCGCGATTTCCAGACTTGGACAGCTCCGCCCTTCTCTATTCTTCCCGCAAAATGTGCGCGGTATGCCGACTGGACAGAGAAACTGCTCGTGCTCTCCCATGTCCATGTGATTGTGTCATCCACACCTTGCACCAGCTCGATGTTCTGAGTCATGTCTACCAAAGTGATGAACTCAAGTAATGCTTGCGTGCTCATATCCGGTGAGACATCCTGCCACCATCCGTCCGTGATCGCTTGACTGACCGTCTTTTTCCGTCCCGGTTTCTTGACCATGGCATATAGGTGCGGCATGGTATCTTCAATGCGACCGTCCCGGAGCCACCAGTCCGTCCAGAACCGCGCCGTCTTCCCATCCCCAAGCGTGCATCTTGTGGCTGCTTTGTATATGCTCATAGATTCTTCGGGTACTTGCAAGTTAAGAGCACCCCATGGCCGGTTTGGCTCTGTCCTTTGCAACCACGGCCACCTGGCTCTAAGCGCTGTGTTTAGCAGGCGCAAGTTTGGCACGCCTAATCCACCAAACTCTTTTGGCGCACAGACTTGGTCCCATGCGACGATGCAATGCCCGCCATGTACATCTCGCCTGCCCTTCCACAAGAATCCCCGACAGATTTTATTAGCGGCTGTGATGGTTTTGATAGGTAAGTCGAGCGCCATCATCGCGTGCATTGGCATGGATGAAAGGGTAGTTCGCAACAGCTCTAATCGTCCGGCTCGATAAATCAACCAGGCTCTCCCTCATGGGCTCTGCTGATGGAATTTCATCACAGAAACCAGGAAGGGAGGTCCTGGTAGTCCCTCCAAGGACCTACTCCTTCCTCTCTTGCAAAAAAGAAAGAAAGTTGGCTTTATAATATAAAGCGGGGCGAAAGCCTTTTTCGGTAAAAAGAAAGAAAGATTTTTGTCCTGCCATATTTCTCCCAAAATATCCTCATACTTGAACATCATCTATACGCAAGAACAACTCAGAATCCAATGAAGGTATCAGTGTCTCTGTGCTGATAAAATGCTAGTGACACGCCTTGTAGTAACCCACTGAATTGCTTCATTTTCAAAAAGACTACTCCCTCCATTCCAATAAATAAGGCACATGTATTTCAAAATCAAAATTTGACCATAAATTAGAAAAATAGTATATATATCTTGTGACTTCAAAATTATACCATTGAAAACTTCTTTCGAATACGAATTTAGCAGTATAAACCCAGGTTTGGTTGGTCTAATTTATGGTGAAAGTTTAATTTTAAAATGTGTGTGCGCCTTATTCATTGGAATGGAGGGAATATTTAGCTAAAGATACATCCTCGCTTTAGAAGATTACTCATATTTCTCTCTTTCAGTATGTTCCAAGAAATGAGTCTATGCAGGGTGTTTTGCCCCTATCCACTAGGTGGTTATTTTGTTGTTACTGCAAATTTGGATATTATCAATTAGCATTCTCCACCACTACAAATATTGCATTCCTGGGTTCCCATATGACGTGAATGTTCATGCATAGCTATCCAGGCAAACAAGTTTTACTTCAGAAGGCAATTCCACAAATTGTTAACTAAGGAAGGAGAACTACTTCACAGCTCATAGTTTTCATCTGTATTGTTTTTTGCTCACATTCAAAGAATGCACCAAATGATACTACATGATGGCCTTGAGCAAGCATAAAACACAAACTGAAACTATGGACTACTTCACAGCTCACAGTTTTCATTTGTATTGTTTTGTGCTCACATTCAAAGAATGCACCAAATAGTACTACATGATGGCCTTGAGCAAGCATAAAACGCAAACTGAAACTATGGAGGTTGTGTTCATCTCATGATAAACTAAACAAATGTCACAATTGAGACTACTCTTACACAGGCAGAGGCCCTTGTCCTGGTCTCCCAATAGATGGTTGACTGTTTGAATCAATTCCAAGCAGAGACGAGGTCTTCAGACATGGCACTGATGGCACCCACTGTTTTCCCTTCTTCTTCGCTAACCGTGCCACTTCGTCAAATGACAACAAGACATGAATGACGATGTAGATTATCACGGCAATGACGAGCGCAAAAATGTACGCAGATGTCTTCAACTTCCTGCAGCTGCCCGCGGCATATGCCCCAAGTAAACCAAGCAAGTCCAAGACCATTGCTGTTTTCATGGCAAAGAGAGATCTCTTGTGCTTGCTTATTGTGTTGTTCAGCAGGAGGATGACCATGACCATTGAGGCCATGAATGCTGTAGCGTTGCAATAGAAGAATACATTGTACCGTGTTAGGTTGGTATCATGGAGGATTGGGTCACCTGCAAAATGGCCATCCTGGTCATCAGGCCAAACTCCTCCTGGCGGAAGCAGACCGGCTTGGTATGTGACAGTGACTGCAAGAGTTCCAATCAGCATCAAATCTTTGCGCCATTTGTGCTCTGTTCTCTTACTATCAGTATCATGTATACTTCTCGTGTGATTCATTGATGGATCTTGGTGCTTAGAAGGCCGCAGCAACTCATTCCACTTATCTTTTGGTGTCAGAACCAGGACTTGAATTATGACATAGACAAACACTGCAAGAACAACAAGAATGACATAGCCAGATGTTGACACTTCTCTGCAGCTTCCAGTAGCAAAAGCACCCATGAGGCTGATCAGATCAATCAATACGCATGCACATAGCGCATGGCACCTCAGACCTTTGTTGCATAGCCTCTTGTTAACAAGCAACAGAATTACTGCCAGGGATGCCATGAAAGCAGTAGCATTGAAGTAGAAGAACACCCTATAGCGGTTTCGGAACTCGTCACGAAACACTGGATAACCTGCTCGGTGGCCGTTAGTCCAAAAGCCACCTGGTGGGCTTATACCAGTTTGGTATGTGATAGAAGCTGCTAGAATTGCGAGCAACATCAGAAACTTGCGCCTCTTCTGCAAATCTGTTTTTTCTTCAGGAGTAGGTTCAGAAGAACTAGGATTTTGGGAGGTTAAATCTTTTTTTTCTTCAAGAGTAGGTTCAGATGAACTAGGATTTGGGGAGGTTTCTGCCATGGAAACCCCAGTATTCCCTACTGTGCTCTCAGTACTCCCTGCTGTGCTCTCAGTACTCCCTGCTGTGCTCTCAGTATTCCCTGCTGTGCTCCCAGTATTCCCTAGTGTCCTCTCATATAGAATATGAAGTACAACATAGACGAAAACTAGGAGGACTAGGACGAACACATAAATGGATGTTGAGAACTTCCTGCTGCTTCCAGCGACGTAGGCTCCCATAAGACCAAAGAGCACAAGTGTCATTGCTGTTTGCAGTACATAACGCTTCATGGCATGAATGGTAATCAAATGGCTCTGGAGTAGGATGATGATGGCCAAAGAGGCTACAAATGCTGTGGCATTGCAATAGAAGAATGCCTTGTAGCGCTTGGGACTAATGGTCTCCAAAATTGGATCACCAGCAATATGCCCATCACTGTTATCTGTCCAAAAGCCTCCTGGTGGATTCAGCCCAGCTTGGAATGTGACTGTGGCAGCAAGGATGCCAAGTAATAGAAGGTATGTGCGCAACTTCTGGAAATCCTTACCATCAGTGCCTGGAGTGCTGTTGTCTGACTGATCTTTTACTGGTATGGGAGGTTTTAACAAGTCAGCGATGAAAGTCCTCAGCTGCTGAACCATTTCTTTATTTCTCTTTTTCACACGAGTGATGGTGTTTGCAATACATGCCAACTTAGACAGAGCAGGCTCAATACACTGGATGATGAGGTAGAGCAAGACTGTGGCAACAAGTGCAAAGACATAGATAGATGTATGTACCTCCCTGCAACTTCCAGCAGCATATGCCCCCATAAGCCCAAATAGACTGACTACCACACACAACCGCAGAGCATTTGACTTGACAACAAGATCCACCGCTGTTTGACTGAGGACCATGATGATGATGACAAGTGATCCAGCAAAAGCAGTGGCATTGCAATAGAAGAAGGCCTTGAATCGGCGTGGATAGTGGTCTCGCAGCACCGGATCACCAGGAATGTGGTTCTTGTTGTCATCAGACCAGAAGCCACCTGGAGGGGTTAGCCCTGCCACATATGTCACTGTTGCTACCAATGTAGCAAGAACCAGCAAGGAGCTGCGATTTCTTTCAAGATCTTCCTCTCTGTCTGCAGCCTCTTTCTCCTTTTTCTTCTCTTCTTCTGCAAGAACCTGCACGGGGCTGCCATTTCTTTCAGGTTCCTCCATCTGGATTGAAGTCACTCCCTCATCGGCTACCCTCTCTGCATTTGAAGCCTTTTGCTCATCTGGTTTTGATGACGTGAAAATGTCCCCCAGAGTTCCCTTCCAACGTTTACTGACACCGGATAGAAATTTTCGCAGCCGCTCAGGTGCCAGGTGCTTGAAGAACACCTCATGGAGTGTGACATAGGCGGAGATGCCAAGGAGTAACACCCAGATGTAAGCAGAGGTCCTCACCTCCCTGCAGCTCCCAGCGGCGAAGGCCCCCATGAGCCCCAGTAAGCCAAGAATCATGGCGAACTGGAGCGCGCGGAGCCAGGCCGCCTTGTGGGTCAACTCCCTCAGCAGGAGCAGTATGAGCACCAGGAGCGAGGCCCCGAACGCCATGGTGTTGTAGTAGAAGAAAGCAAGGTACCGCCTGGGGTAGCTGGACTTCATCACGATGTCGCTGGCGACGTGGCCGTGCTCGTCGTTGTGCTGCCAGAAGCCGCCCGGCGGGGCCAGCCCCGCCTGGAACGTGATGGCCGCCACGAGGATGGCCATCAGCACCAAGTACTTCCTCAGCTTCCATAGGAGCTCAGCCTCCTCGTCGGCGCCCTCTTGCTGCAGCTGCTGCGGCTCGTTGAGAGTGTTGCCGGCAGCTGCAGGGGCATGGGCATTGCCATTCTGCTCTCCGGGATCCTCCATGGCTCTGAGATTCCTTGAAAATCTCTAGCTCCTCTCTAAAGATTGTAGCGTATGTGGGTCTGCGTGGGTTTGCGAGACTGAGGTGGGGTGTGTGGGGTTTGCGAGACTGAGGTGGGTTTGCGAGACAAGATAAAGAACTTCAAAGCCACATCGCAGTCCCACCCAGCCCACCAATAATATCCCATGGACAAAAACCTGGACCGTTTCAAATAGCCGAATCTTCGCCGGTGTGGCCATATGAGCAAGTACAATAAATCTGAGTGAGCGGGTTATAAAAGAAGGGGAGAGAGAAGGTAAGCGGGCTCTTCGTGAAAAGTCAGCTCTAGCACGTGCTCCTAGGCACTTTGTGAGAATGAAAAGTGGGTCACATAATAAAAAAGTAATATACTCTTTTGATCTACTATTATACATGTTAACTATAAGATGGGTTGTAAATGACATGGCACTGACTTATAGCCGGCAGCTGGCTATACTATTAACCATGCTCTAAAAGCGCAGCAATCCTTTTCTGCAGTCTACTCCTAGTGAGTTCTAGCTTCATGCAGCTATTTAATACACTCCTACCTATAATTTGGAGCAGCACAAACTTAGTACTTATGTGGGCAAAATGTGTGCTGGGTTCAGATAATCTCAGATTACAGCATATTTATAACATCCATGCATGCCTACCGTATAGCAATAGGATACCTTGTATTATTCGCAAGCCATTATACAACTTGCCCAACAAACATCCAAGAAAGCCTGTCGATACTACTCCGTGCCTGTGCCTGTGCCTGTGCCTGTGCCTGTGTAGTATCCAGCGAGAATCGTGCTAGATTTACTTTATTTATTAAGTGCAAGCTAATATATAATGCCATTCAAGTACCAGGTTGCTACAGGGACAGAGGTCGGCATGTTTTTAAGTCCGGCCAGGACGACAAGACAACAAGCTGCGACCAGATGTATGCATCCTCGGACCGAAGACTGGGCTGCCAGTGCCCAAGTCTGCGTGCCTGTCTCCTGGGTCCTATCACCAACCGCTTAAGATTATGCAAATCCATTTCCCAATAGTTTCACACGGCAAGCAGAGGAGGGAGTGGCCTTTTCTGAACTTTTGCACATTGATAACTGAAATACCCACGTTCGTTGCCTCGAAAAAAGTGTAGAAAATACCCATGCCCAAGCAACCCCATCATACAGCGCGAGCGCAATGAAACGCAAGAAGATAAGAGCAAGCAGCTGGGCACATGCATACCTGTCACAGTAGCAGGCGCCTCGGGCACTGCAGCAGCGCAGCGCACCGGGTCAATTAGGATTTTCTTGCACGCGTTACCCTCGAGCACCTGCCGGGCCATGCTGCCGGCGCATTTCGTCGAGCATCTGTCGGGCTATGCCGCCGGGGCATTTCGTCGAGCACCTGCCGCGCGCTCCTCGCAAGCTGCACCGTGCGCCCACCAGGCCACTCCGTCGCAAGCTGGCCACCTCCTGCATCGAGGCGTCCCAGCGGCAGCGTCGCCGGTGGGAAACATGCTGTGGGTGCGCTGGTGCCGGGCAGAGCGATCAGCTGGACCATCAGCGAGAGAACTCCCGGAGCCGTCTTGTGTCACTGAGGTCGATGTCACCGATGACGTTCATCGAGTGATGCGAGACCCTGATGTCAGCCAGACAACGCGTGATGCAAGAAGAGGGGCTGTGTGAGCCGGGCTTGCTGGACAGCGGGGACCACTTGTAAAGGCAACTCCAAGCATCAAATCGGAGACGGACACCTCGGACACATCAAAGATCCACGGACACGTCCGTGCAGAGGATTGGCGCGGCCATCCAACTCGTGCATCAAACGCCATTTCAAATTAATCTTTCACAAGAATGGATGAAAATAGTATTTATTAAATTTTGATATATTTATAACCAAAAGGACAAAATTTAATGAAGTTCAAGCACCGAATGAATTTTGAACCAAAATTAAACTAAGCGAGGTACCAGACGGTGACCTCGCGGGATGGGCTCTGAGGCCGTCAACACCTCCATCATCAGCCAGTTTGTCGTCATCATCTTTCTAGTGGCGAACAACCTCCCAGGAGTCGCGGCAGCCCTGGTCGATCGTGATGCAACCGCTCCGCCTCACGCAGACAATCAACCACGTCCAGCTGGCGATGACGGTCGGGCATGGACTCCAACCCGCACGCTCCAGCCCTTGCCCTTGTTGGCAAGGGCACGAGCGACTCGCTCGGACTCGGCCAGTCTGATCTTGTAGAGTGGATCGCTGATGATGACCAACATTCTCTTAAACGTTTTCTCGTTGGCGCTTCTGTATGCGCAAACTCTTGGTCTTGCTCATGGCGGAGGGAGTGGAGGCACATGTGCCGGAGTGTGTTCTCCTGATACCAGGGATCAAGGATACCTTGCATTTGTGAGTTCTGCCAGGGGCTAAACGCCTAGTCAATCCACTATCAAAGGCACACAAAAAAGTAAGGACACGAGGGATTTTATACAGGTCCAGACCGCCATGTTAGTGTAAAAACCTATAACGTGTTGGTATTGATATAATCTGAGAAATACAAGTGCTCCGGTGTTGCAAAGATGGTGGTCCGGGTGAGACCAGTATTGGTCGGGGTACTAGCAAGAGTGCTCGAACACTCCTATCTCTACTCTTCTTCTTAGCTATTAGTCTTCTGCTCAATGGTGGTTGCTGGTAGTGTTGCGGGTGCTAACCTGCTTCTCCCTCTTTTGACCTTGGCCCTCCCCTTATATAGGACCGGGGTACCACATTTGGTCGGTAAAAATATGTGTGTTGTTATACAAATAATGGTCAGTTGAGGCATCCCGCTTGCCTCTGTCACGTAGCGGTAGATGACCTGATACTGGAGCGTGTGTCATGGTTTTGTCACGGCAAATGTCCTCATAGGAGAACTAAGTGGTGATGTCATTGCTGCTAGGTGTAAGCTTGGACGGGGTTGACCGGAACCGAAAAACACGAGTTTATCCAGGTTCGACCCCTCACGACGAAGGTAAAAGTCAACTCGTGCTTGATTGCTATTGATGATGATGATAATTACAATGGTGCTATTTCTCTACCTAGTTTTCCAGAGATTATAACTTGTATGTCCCTTTGGGCATCCCAAGAACCCCTTATATAATAGGCCGAGTCCCTAGCTTACAATGGATTCCGGGTTGTAACCATAATCAGAGTCCTACTCTAAATTGTGTAGATCTTCTGCATCTTCCAAGTTAAGAGAACTTCTTTTTTTGAGGGGGAGTTAAGAGAACTTCTGGCTTGGGATTTATCGTAAGCCGGCTCCCCTGGGTCAGGTTTTCCTTACAAGCCCATGGACCAGTCGACATCTCTTCCAATGCTAACCGGTGTGGGCCTTCTGGATCTTTGAGGGTCTCAACCCAGGTCGGGTTACACTTCCAGGCCTTCGCCGAGTTTCCTCTGGCTGGGTCTCGCACGTGGGGAGTATCCCAACATTAGCCCTCGAGTTAGATTGGATTTATTCCTTTCCCTGAAAATAAGAGTAAGCAAAAAGTATCAAGGACCAAAATACGGGTCTCACCTGCAAGAGTCAGCTTTGGCCCATGCTTCGAGCTAAGACGTTCCTTATTCCACCTCTCGGCCATTTTCATTGGTCATGAATACTTCTTGCATACTTATCTTTTAATTTTGCCCGTTCTCTTCTGGTACTCCCAATCCAGGCCAAATCATGTCAATGCGAGAATCGAGGCACCTTCTTAGCAAAAAGTTATTGCGCCACCTAGGGTTTTGTCGTGAAATTGTCATGTCAGATGTCCTAATGAAAGGACTTAGTCGTGGAGCCATCGCAACTAGGAAGCTTAAAGGGGTTAATCGGGACAAAGGACATGGGGTTTATACTGGTTCGGCCCCTTACGGTGAAGGTAAAAGCCTACGATCCAGTTTTGAGTGCGATTGCTTATCTCTGGATTACCAGGGAGCGAATCCGCTTGACCTAGTTCTCGATCTGATGTTACTTTCCCTGAACCGCCGCCGGGTTGTCCCTTTATATACGGAGGTTGACGCCCAGCGGCTCAAAGGGTCCCGGCCGGCTCATAAACAGTGTCCGACTCGGTCTCTCTCTATTCTTGCCTTAAAATACAAGTTATATATGGCGGTTTATCTCTACGGGCCTTGAGTCGCCTTTGGGCTTGGGCCCTTAACTGAACCGCCATCTTCCA